AGAGAAAGGGACCAGATGGCAGTCTAGGTGCCGGGCTAAGGGGCTCGGACTTATTCCTCACATCACAGTCACAAAAGCAAATGACTACGGTAATGTAGATAGATCACTGAGGCAGGCCAGGTAATGCATAGTCTAAAAGAGGGGCCTGGAGGACTCACGACCCATCTATGCAGGCAGCTGCTGCTCCACAGAGCTGCTTAACTCCAGCTGTGTGAAGACACATGGGCCCAGAGTGACTGTGTCTTCTGATTTTGCAAGGAAAGCTGACATCTAGATTATTATGAATCTCTCAGTTTCTAAGTATTAGCCCATTAACGAATAAAACAAACAAAAAACCTGCAGTGGACAAATAAACCTACCCATACCCTAAATATGGTTCAAGGACTCCCAGTTGAGACCCCCGTTCCTGGTGAATGAAGCAGCACCGCTGAGAAGTTTTTAAAGGCAAGCGATGAGGGCAGATCTTCCCATTGTTAGGATGCTTCGGTGGAAGGCTAAGGGGGATGGGTTGGAATGAGGCTAGATCTAAAGTAGGAAGACCAGGAAACATCCAGTGAGCGACGAGTCTTTCATCTTTTAAGGGTGATGATAATTTCGATAAAATCAAGTAAAACTCATTTAGAGTCAAATCTTATGAGTAAATTTAATATTGGGGCTGGATATCTATCCGGTCTTATATAAAAAACAAAAGGAGAGTATAAAATTAATGAGATGATTGCTTTAGGCAGTTAAAAAAATGGGTCAGGAGGCCATTACAAAAGAGATGTCATAAAATGTACTGCGTAACAGTCATGCTTTCTCATGGACATGGACCCTCCAGAAGTGGCTATCTGTAGGAAAGCACTGTATGGCGTATCATGTTCCAAAACTATATTTACCAGAAGTTTCTCCCCACCATCCTATGCTCCTGCCTTCAGGCCTGCATGAGCCTCCAATCTCAGCCAGACAATTGGGATAGGATGGAAGTCCACATCCCTTAAACCCAGTGTTCCAGATTGAAATCATGCCGGGCGCGGTGGCTCAGCCTGTAATCCCGCACCTTTGGGAGTCTGAGGTGAGTGGATTGCCTGAGCCCGCTGGGGTTCGAGACCCGCCTGGGCAGCGAGACCTCATCTCTACAATAAATCAAAAAAAATCAGCCGGGCATGGTAGCGCATGCCTGTAATTCCGGCTACTTGGAAGGCTGAGGCGGAAGGATCGCCAGAGCCCAGCAGGCCGAGGCTGCCGTGGCCGGGAGCGGCCACTGCACTCCAGTCTGGGCGACAGAGTGAGACTCCAACTCAAACAAAACAAAACAAAACAAAAAAACCAGATTGAAATCGTGAGGCTAAGAGCTTCAGAGTCGGCACATATTTGACATCTCTGCCACACCCATCCTCTCTCCACCCCTCACCTGATTTGAATTTTATACATTTGCATTATTTGTACATACTTGTCTTCCTCCACAAGACAGCTAACACTTCTCTGAAAGCAGAAACTGTGTTAATTATCTTTGCATCACTTCCACAGTAACCCAGCAGAGTAATCTGCCACAGAGTGAGCATTTAACAAATGTTGGTTTCGGGAGAAAATGTCTTATTACTTAACAATCACACTGTGCTCAGTGAAATTCACCATCTTGCAGGTTTGCCTTGAAACGTACCCAAGGGCACTTAGCTACTGATGCACCTAAGCAGTGTCTCCTGAGTCAGTCCTGAGGTCAGCATTACAAGGAGGCTTGAGGCTCTGAGGTGTAAGAACAACCACATAACCCCAGCTCACTCCCAACTACTATTTAAATAACTATGTTAGTAATAGGAAGGCATGCAAGACATTACATTCCTACTGATTACTTGGAAAAGTAATCACTTCCTCAACAATTATCTGGTCTACTACCTAAACAAACAATTGTTACCCCCACCAGGTAACTATGAAGCCATCATTTAGGAGTCCAGATGGTAATCACCACGTTCATTGTTACTAAGTTCATTATCAAGGCTATCCAATAGGAGGAGTGCCTGGTAAAATGGTAGTCATCACTTACCTGGAGAAATACTGCACAGACACACTCAGCTCATTGAATTTAGATAGCAAGCTTCCTCACTACTGCTAGAAAAAAGATACTAAGCAGGAAAACCACATTTGGACACCAGGCTTTGGATATGGGTGGCGAATGAGGCCATGGGGTGGGTAGAAGAGAAAACAAAGTTTCTGATTGCCTATCTTAATAGTCACACATGAGATAACCTATATGTCATCTTGCTGTGATACTTTGAAAATAATAATTTAGAAAATAAGAGTTCATTAAAAGTTGCAAAAGATGGTACAGGCAACTAGTGATTGGTAAGAATAGCCAGAACTGGGCAATAACATTTAAGTGGAAAAGGAAAGATGAATTGTCTGTAAACGTTTCCAGGTTACTGCGCTCCCTTGCAGTGAAGTAACCGTTTGCTTCATGATACCCTTCTTTTTTTTTTCTCTCTCTCTCTCTTTATTTTAAAGATGTGGGGTACAACTCAGGGTTAGGAATACAAATGTTCATTATGCAGATACTCTTGTTGATGAGGTGTGCCTCCCCTCCCCATGCCCTTCTTAATAACCACATTCATTTCAAGGCCCTGCCATATCAGACACCAGGAAGCAATAAGGATGGACAGAGAGGACACACAATCAGAAGGTCACAGCTCTACAGACTAGAACTATTTTGTCTAAAAAGGTAGCCACACATGGCTATTTACATTTAAATTAAACTGAAATTTAAAAAATCAGCTCCTCAGTTGTACTAGCCATATTTCAAGTATTCTGTACTACTGGCTATCATATTGAATAATGCAGACATAGGACATTTCCACTATTTTTCTAGAGCAGAGCTGGACTAGAAAGTGAACATGCCTATTGCTCATACACCTGATGAAAAATTCAGAGTCAAAGTCAACAGTTTTATTCACCAAGCATAATTAGAGATATCCAGGGTTGTTTATCTGCTCATTGTACTGACTGTGGCATACATTAGAGACATTTGAAGATATACAGGAAATCTGGACATCCTTATTAGCAGGGGATTTTTTTCTCCCAGTCTTCTACCCCTCAGTATTGACAGGGATAGAAAAATGGGAGAGGATCAGAAACTCCTTGATTTAAGTCTCTCTTAGCCAAGAAGCTACACAAATTACCAAAAACAAATATATTTTTAGAAGCACCTTCTTTCCTCTCCTTCTCTCTCCTTAAAATAAATATGCTAAAAGACAAATGAACAAAAACGTAGGAGGCAGGAAGAGGAATTCAAGAAAATTATTAAGAATAAAACAGACTACTATCCTAAATTACTGGTCCAGTACAGCCAAGGAAATTACCATAAATAAAGAATGTTTTAAAAAATACATTGTGGGAACAATTTGACAAATCCACATTAATTTTAAAGGTTACCAACTTTCCAGAGGCCACATGATTTGCTAGTAACAAGTATTGAGTTTCATCAAGAGCAACATACTCTGGTTCGACTGATTGACAGGCAAATAAAAAAAATCACACAAGTCACTTCCCCATGATAGCATCATTAGATTTCTGAGGTCATTTGGTACTCAGACAGAAGATATGTCTGATGGTAAATAAAAATTAACTACAGTAATAAGATTCTACTTCTTAGAACTTTCCTGTAAACAGTCTTACAAAAATGAGGTGATAGACTTCTGGACTTAAAGTAAATAGTTTCAACTGCATTTAAGAAAAGCAAACTAAGATTCATTCAAGAACCAGGAAAAAGAAAACCAGCAGTCCTCAGACACTGGATTCTATTTAGACAACTCATTCTATTATTACTTGGATATTTGTTGGCAACTTTGCCATGCTACGGAGGAAAATGTGGTATCTCAGTGATAGAATAATTTGAATGCAAGCTAAAATTTGACCAGCACGTAAAAACAACAAAATTTATAACCCATCTGCTCAAGAGAAGAACAGCTTATTTATTTTGGGGGAGGGGGTGGCAAGACTTTAGGATGCCGAAAAAAACTTAAAATGCACGCCTTAAAGCTCTTCTTCAAAAATGCATGATGTTGCTGTCTCTGCCTGATAATTACAGCCCTGGGAGGGCAGCTATGAGACAATGCAGTACACAGGGACTCAAGGAGCCTGGCAGGCTGCTGCAAGGGTTCATCACTATGAAAGCACACACAAGGATCAGCCATCCCTTTCCCTGTCCCCAGCACGTTTCAACAGCGATACAAATGTTCAGTAGCAAAGTTATCACAAAAAGTTCTAAAATCTCAACGTTTCCCCTCTGTCCCCTAGATTTGCCCTCTCCATTTGCTTCCCACCC